ATATCCTCCCACTTAACCTTTACCATCAAGCCAAGGGATCAATCCTGGTTCAATGGAGAGTGCAGGAGGGCATGCAAGGAGCAGCACCAGGCATACCTGAACTTGAGATATCAACCTGGCGAAGCCACCAAACAGGACTACTTGCACGTCAAACAGCGAAAGCAGCAAATGATAGACAGGGCTAAATGATCCCACAGCTAACGGATCAGATCTAAGCTCTGCAGTCCTGCCACATCCAGTCGTGAATGGCGATGGACAATTAAACAACTCACTGGAGGAGGAGGCTCCACAAATATCCCCATCCTCAATGATGGAAGAGCCCAGCACATCAGTGCAAAAGATAAGGCTGAAGCATCCACAGCAGTCTTCAGCCAGAAGTGCCAAGTGGATGATCCATCTCAGCCTCCTCCAGTGGTCCCCAGCATTACAGATACCAGTTTTCAGCCAATTCAAATCACTCCACGTGATATCAAGAAATGGTTGGAGACCTGGATACTGCAAAGGCTACAGGCCCTGACAACATTCCAGCTATAGTACTGAAGACTTGTGCTCCAGAACTTGCTGCTCCCCTAGTCAAGCTGTTCCAGTACAATTACAACACTGGTATCTACCCGGCAATGTGGAAAAGTGCCCAAGTATGTCCTGCACTCAAAAAGCAGGACAAATCCAACTCGGCCAATTACCGCGCCATCAGGCTATTCTCAATCATCAGTAAACTGATGGTGATGGAAGGTGTCATCAGTAGTGCTATCAAGCAACACCTGCTCAGCGATAACCTGCTCAGTGATGCCCAGTTTGGGTTCTGCCAGGGCCACTCAGCTCCTGACCTCATTACAGCCTTGGGTAAAACATGGACAAAAGAGATGAATTCCAGAGGTGAGGTGAGAGCGACAGCCCTTGATATCAAGGCTGCATTTGACTGAATGTGGCATCAAGGAGCCCTCGCAAAACTGGAACCAATGGATATCAGGGGGCAAACTCTCCAGTAGTTGGAGTCATACCTGACACACAGGAAGATGGTCGTGGTTGTTGGAGGTCAATCATCTCAGTTCCAGGACATCTCTGCAGGAGTTCCTCAGGGTAGTGCCCTCAGCTCAACCATCTTCAGCTGCTTCATCAATGACCTTCTCTCTATCATAAGGTCAGAAGTGGGGATGTTTGCTGATGATTGCACAATGGTCAGCACCATTCATGACTCCTCAGTCCGTGTTCAAATGCAACAAGATCTGGACATATCCAGGCTTGGGCTGACAAGTGAAAAGTGACATTTGCACCACACAAATGCCAGGCTATGACCATCACCAATAAGAGACAATCTAACCACCACCCCTTGACATTCAATGGTGTTACCATCACTGAATCCCCCACTACAACATCCTGGGGACTATCATTGACCAGAAACTCAACTGGACTTACCACATTAACACAGTGGCTACAAGAGCAGGCCAGAGGCGAGTACTGTGGTGAGTAACTCACCTCCTGACTTCTCAAAGCCTGTCCACCATCTGCAAGGTACAAGTCAGAAGTGTGATGGAATACTTCCTACTTGCCTGGATGAGTGCAACCCCAACAACACTCAAGAAGCTTGATACCATCCAGGACAAAGCAACCCACTTGATTACATCCACGAGCATCCACTCCCTCAACCACCAAGGCTCAGGAGCAGCAGTATGTACTATCTACAAGATGCACTGCAGAAATTCACCAAAGATCCTCAGACAGCATCTTCCAAACCCACAACCATTTCCATCTTGAAGGACAAGGGCATCAGACATGTGGGAACACCACCACCTTCAAGTTCCCCTGCAAGCCACTCACTGTTCTGACTTGGAAATATATCGCTTTTCCTTCACTGTCACTGGGTCAAAGTCCTGAAATTCCCTCCCTAATGGCATGGTGGGTCAACCTACAACAGGTGTACTGCAGCGGTTCACGAAGGCAGCTCACCACCACCTCCTCAAGTGCAACTAGGGATGGGCAAGAAATACTGGCCAGTCAGCGATGCCCACATCCCACAAATGAATTAGAAAAAGATATCTTGATCAGTAGGGGATTAAGGATTATGAAGAAAGGCAGGAAAGTAGACATGAGGAATGTCAGATCAGCCACGATTACCTTGAATGGTGAGGCAGGCCAAGGAGCAGAATGGCCTACTTCTGTTCCTTTTTCTTATAGTCTTATAAGCCCTATTTGACTAATACATAATTAGAATCTTGACAAAATATGTTGAGTGACAACAATTTAGAATATGACATTGAAAAAAAAATTCTGCTTTAAAGTTCTCTAAGTGAAGTTGGTTAATTTTCTGCAAAGCCTTAAGCACTGCAGGCTCACTCTTTCAAATCCAGCAGCTTCCGAACAGAGGCCATATTAAATTTCGTAACTTGTCTGTTTTTAGAGAAAAAAACACAATCAGAACATGTTAATTCAAATCGGAGCACTTTAGTCAAATGAACAGGGGTCATTGGAAAACCACGAGAGACAACTTTTTCAAATCCATTCTTGTACATGTCTCTATCTCAAGGTTTTTGAGAAGATTTGTAGCTCCGGCTATTGATGTGGTTGTTGACTTGCTCACCAAGCTGGTAAGTTTGTTCGCAAATGTTTCATCACTATGCTAGGTAACACCATCAATGCACCTCCAGTGAAGCGTCCGTGTTCTGTCCCGCTTGCTATTTGTGTGTCTCAGTTTGCTGGGGTGGGTGGCATCACTTGCGGATTTGTTTCTTAGTGGTTGGTATATCGTGTCCAGCCCTATATTTTTGTTAATGCAGTTCCAGTCATGTTGGTCATGTCTCATGAACACCAACTAGCTACCAAGAGACATGACCAACTATCACTCATTTCAATATACATTGATATAGAGGGCCACCAATTCGACTGGGGCAACGTAGCCATCCTAGGACATGCCAAGCAAAGACACACACAAGAATTTTTGGAGGTCTTCTGGCACTCAAACCAGAACTCCATTAACAAACATGGACTGCTGGACCCCATATTCCAACCACTAAGAAACAAATCCGGAAGTGATGCCACCCACCCCAGCAAACCGAGACACATAAATAGCAAGCAGAACAGAACACCAACGCTTCACCAGAGGCGCACTGATGATGTTACCTAGCATGGTGACGAAACATTTGCCAATAAACTTACCAGCTCGGCGAGCAAATCAACAAATTCATGTCTCTATCTCAATCAACATTATTACTCGTGCTTAGTTGCCCTTGAGAAGGTGGTGGCGAGCTACCTATTCGAACAACTGTAGTCCGTTTCATTCATTGAAAAGCACTCAGGTTAACAGACAGACAATTCTCATGCATTCGATTTAATAACTCTCTATGCCTCCTTCACCTCCCAATCAGCAACTCTCTGGCTTTTACTGAGCTGAGTCAGATAGAGGTCAAGGTTTGTATCAACATCGGGAACATCAAATGCACAAGGCCAATTAGTAGCCAGTAAATTCCCAAAGTTGAGAAAGGTTGCTTAAACTGGATAACTATGAGAAACTACCAGATAGCAGCAGCAAGAATTAAGAGAGATGGCGGCATAGTGGTAAAGTCACTAGACTAGCATCCAGAGGTTCAGGCTGGTGCTCCAGGCACACAAGTTCTAATCCCATCATGGCAGCTGGTGAAATTTAACCTGAATGAACAAATCCAGAACTGTAAAGTAACTATCAGTAATGGTAACCAATTATCATGGTCAAAAAATCACATCTGACTCACTAAGATGCATTAGGGAAGGAATCTGACATCCTTATCTAGTCAGGCTCACGTCTGACTCCAGTCCCACGGCAATGTGGTTGATTCTTCACTGCAGTGAACATACACCACAATGAATACAGCATTTCAAGAAGATGGCTGATAATTAACTTTTCCAGAGCAATTAGGAACAGACAATAAATGTTGAACTTATCAGCCAAGCCCACATCCCATGAAAAAGTAAAACAAAAATGGCATTGGAGACATAGTGAGCAATATGTAAATACATGTCTTTATGTGCCTGGACGTTTCATCTCAAAGATCACAACTCTAGGTAAATTCAAAATTTCACCTGCCAGGTATGTGTTCTGCTACACTAACCCATTAATAGGTATACTGAAATGCAACAAGTAAAATGCTGAATATGCTTGTAATAAACACTAGTACTATTATTTAGATACCTGTAACATTGTCATATCCTCCCTTCTTCACATATGCAAGAACTTCAGCGTCAACCATTGAACTCTTGTTAATAGATAGTTTTTTTAATTCATTCACGCGCTAGGCCTGCATTTATTGACCAAAATGCAGTTCAGAGTCATTCACATATCTGTGGGTCTGGAGTCACTGAACAGGTAAGAATGGCAGATATCCTTCGCTAAAAGGACATTAGTGAACCAGTAAGGTTTCGTGACAACTGATAAGTGGTACATAGTCGTTATTAGGCCAGCTCCTTATTTCAGATTTTATTAATTTTGAATTTCACCATATGCCATAGTTGGATTTGAATCCATGTCACCAGAGCACTGACCTGTGGTTCTTCATTGCTAGTACCATGACAACGCCACAACCACCACACCACCACACATCCCCAACCCCCCCAAAAAAAGTGTACTGACAGTTTGATTCCTTCTGCAGATTTTAGTTAAACAGAGAACATGGTTACAGGGCAGTTTAGTATACTCTAGTGTCAAGAAAGAAAGAACTGGCAATTACAGGGAAGCAAATATTGTATTAAATTATACTTTAAAATCGAGTCATTACTATAAATAAGAGATTAAATAATGGACCATTTCACTTATCAGTGAAAAAAAACTCAACAGGATTTTATTTGATCCCAATGTTTATCTGAAGAATGCACAGGTGTTTAGAGTATGTTTACATATAACTGGTCAAATTCTTTTGAGGAGTAGCTAATTAGCTGCTCAGAAATGCAACTGATATAATTCTATTCAGATATTTAGAATAATTAGATTTAGTTTCAAATATGAGAATAGCAAAAGTTATCATTAACGTTACCAGTCTTTGAAAGAGGTCTCCAACACACTGATGATGACTCCATTGCTGAACTCTGGGGAAAAGGCCATCATAGAAGTCTTTGTGAATCTCATAAAGCTCAGGCACTTTGAAGAAGATGGTTTCTATTTGTTGGCTCGTGAGGACTGGCTGAGATGTGGTAGCAGCTGCTTTAAGAGGCTTCATAGGCTGTAACATAAAGATAAAATGAAGGACCAAGTTCACATAAAACTCGTGGATTACAGAATACTAACAAATTCAATTATACAACTGCAGTACATATCACAAGAAAATGTTGCTTTTCAGTTGGACCAAGGCTGTAATGACGTCAGAACCTGAGTGGTTCTGGCAGAACGCAAACTGAGCTTCAATGAGCATTTTATTACTAAGCTGCTTCACAGCACTGTTGATGACACCTTCTGTCACTTTGCTGATGAGGCAGTAATTGGTCAGGTTGGATTTTCCGGGTTTTTTACACAGGTCGCACCTAGGCAATTTTTCGTATTGCTAGATAGAGACCAGCGTGGTAGCTATAATGGAAGCACTTGATTAGGAATGTCACTAGTTCGAGAAGACCATAAGAAATAGGAACAGGAGTAGGCCATTCGATCCCTTGAGCCTGTTCTGCCATTCAATAGGATCGTGGCTGATCTGACATTCTTCACATCCACTTTCCAGCCCTTTACTCGTAACCTTTGATTCTCCTTTTGATCAAGAATTTACCTATATCAGCCTTAAATATACACTAAATGCTGCTTTTTCTTTCAACCTAATACTCTCCTCATCTTCTTTGGCTAGCCGTGATTGGTTAATCCCTCTCAGACTCTGCCCTTCTTTCTGGCACATATTTTTATGGAGAGGCATGAATTGACTCCTTAAATGTCTGCTGCTGCTTGCTTACTGTCATTTCTGCACATCTATCCACCTAGTTCACTTTAGCCAACTTAATCCTTGTTTCATTGTAATTCCCTTTATTTCAGCTAAACACAGATGTTTCTGATCCAAGTTTCCCACTCTCAAATTCAATATTATATTCAATCATGTTATGATCACTACTACGCAGGGGATCTTTTAATTAGAGGTCATTTATTAAACCTGCCTCAGTATCCATCAACAGATCCAAGATGGCCTACTCCCTCTGGTTGGCTCCATGGCATATTGCTCTAGGAAACTATCCCTGATATACTATAAATTTGTTGTTGTAGCTACCCTTTCTAATTTGATTAACCCTATCAACATGAAGATTAAGGTCACCCACAACATTGCTCTTTTCTTTATACATGCTCCAACTATTTGTTGATATATTATAGCTTTCCTACAGAGCGGCTACTGTTTGGGGACTGTGTACTACTCCTACCAATGTCTTCTTTACCTTGCTGTTTTTTTCCTTCCGTCCAAATGGATTCTACATCATCCGAGCCGAGTCTCTCACAACTGTCCTCATTTCATCTTTTATTAACAGTGCTACCTCACCAGCTTTCCAATCCCTCCTGTGTTTCCAAAATGGCAAATATCCCTGAATGTTAAGTTACCAAATCTGATCTTCTTGTAACCACGTAATGGCTGTGAAATCATATTCATTTACTTCGATTTGTGCTGTCAGTTTGTCTACCTTATTCCGAATGCTTTGTGCATTGAGATTCAATTTCTTTAACTTTATTTTATTATTAAATTTCTCTACACTTTTATGTTTCCTTGGTGCAATACGACATTCACACATACTGCCCTTTACTTTTATTATCTAGTAACAATCACCCCCATCATGAACATGAAATTCTCCCTCATTCTCTACCTTTTCTTATCCAATATGCCATGCAACTGAGCCCCCCCACGCTCCCCCACACCCCACCCAACCACCACCACCACTATTTAGTTTAAAGCCCTTATATATTCACCAGGAATCTAGTCCCAGTATGATCCAGATGCACTGTCTCATCAGAACAGCTCCCTCCTTCTGTAGTACTAGTGTATTGGAATCCACTTCTCCCACACCAACCTTCGAGGCATGCATTTACCTCTTTAATCTTGTTGACCCTGTGCCAATTAGCTTGTGGCTCAGGTAGAAATACAGAGATCATCTTTTTGGTTTTGCTCTTAATTTAGCCCCTAGCTGCTCATATTCCCTCAGCAAAACCTCCTTCCTCATTCTACTCTATTGTTGGTGACTACATGGACCATGACAGCTGGATTTTTATCCCTCCCACTCCAAGTTTCTCTGTAGCCCAGATGAAATATCCTGAACCAGGGCAATGGACTCACAACATAGCCTTCGGGATTCTCGATCCTGACCACGGAGAACAGTGTCTATTCCAGTGACTATACTAAAGCTGATTACATCTACATTTCTTTTTTGCACCCCCCTGACCCTTGCACCCCCTGAATCCTTGAATGGCAGTTTGCTCATTCTTGAGGCCTCCTATCTTGTCCACACAGGGAGCAAGAATCTCAAATCTGTTCGACAATGCCAAGAGCTTAGGTTCCTACTGCACTACCTCCTGGATCCATCTACCTGCCTTGCTCGTAATCACACCCTCCTGTCCCTGACCACTGACCAAATTCGAGGAAGTTAATCTAAGTTTGTGACTGCCTCCTGAAACACACTCTTCCCCCTTCCTGTTCTGTAGCAGTGGGGTTCGATGCTTGGACGCTAGCTCATCAATGCTGACCAAGAGTTCCTTAAGGAGCCAACTCTTGTTGAGGTCTTATAAGTCTTGGCATTAGTGCTAGAATGCTGTCAGGGCCGTAGCCTTTGCAATACCCAATGGCTTCAGCCATGTGATATCACATGGAACTGAAGTAAATCACCTGAAAGCTGACATCTGTGATGCTGTGGACCTCAGAAGGAGGCCAAGATCAATCATCCACTCAGCACTTCAGTCTGAAAGTCAGCCTGGCCTTTTGCACTGATGAGATGGGCTTCCCCAACACTGATGATCAGGATATTCATGGCGCTTCCTCCAGTGAGTTGTTTACTATATATCACCATAACTGATAAGGTTGAACTGCACAGCTTGGGTCCGATTCATTGGTTGTGGGATCTTATCATGATTACTGCATGCTGCCTCCATTATGCAAATAGTCCTCTGTTGAGGCTTCACCAGGTTGACACTTCATTTTTAAGTATACATGCTGCTGCTCCTGACATGTCCTCCTGCACTCTTTGTTAAGATATGCTGGTCCCATGGCCTGATGTAACGGTACAGTAAGGGATATGAGATTACAGATTGCTATTGAATACAATTCTGCTGCTACTAATGGCTCACAGAACATCACGAATACCCAATACTGAGTTACTACACCTGTGCAAAATCTATTCTATTTAACACAGTGATAGTACCACACATAAGAGAGGGCAATATTCCCTCTAAGTGTATGGCCAGGTAGCTACTGGGAGTTCTCGCACACACCAATTAGCCTCTGCGTGCAAAAATTGCTGTCGTGCACAATACTCAGAAATCTGCACAGTGGAAAAATAATTAGGGGGAACATAGATAGAGATATCCTCAACATGAGGATAGGGCGTCATCCCCACACGGACAGTGCAAAGGTCACTTCTACCAATACAGATGCATTAGTAACAGGTTGATTAGTAAGGATGAGGTCAAGTTGGTGCTTCCATTTTGTTTGCTCCTTCACCATCTACTGCAGTCTTGCAGTTATGTCTTTTGGAACTCAATCAGCTCCTTCTATATTGGTGCTAACAATCCACTCTTGGTGCTGAATACTGAAGATCCCCACTCAGAGCACATTCTGTACCCTTGCCACCCTCAGTGCTTCTTCCAATTGGTCGGGTGAAGGGTAAATAGGTGGTAATGAGCAGGAAATTTGTTGCTTGTGCTTGAGCTAATGTCATGAGACTTCATGGTATCCATAGACAACACTGAAGACTCCAAGGGCAACTCCATCCCAACTTCAAAATACCATGTCTCCATCTCTGCAGGTCTGTCCTGCTGGTAGGACTTATCCATAGATGCAACAGGGCATCAGGGACACTGTCATACTCATGGAATCATACCTTGCAGACAATGTCAGGCTGTTGTGTGGCTGGTCAGTGAGGCAGCTCTCTCAATATAGTTATAAGGCTCCAGATATTGGTAAGGAAACTGTGCAGGTTCAACAGTTTGCTGCTGTCGTTTCAAGTGTCTTAGACAATGCCAAGTCATCTGTCCGTTTCAGTGCTTTCCTTAGATTTTGCAGTTTAATGAATGGCTTGCTAGGCCATTGCAGAGAGCATTTTAAGAGTCAACCACATTGTTGTGGGTTTGGTCAGGTATAGGCCAAAGCATGTAAGGACAGCATATTCCCTTGCCTAAAGGACATTAGTGAAGGTAAGTTTTTATAACAATCTCTAATGACTCTGCAGACAGAGATGAAGAAAATCTTACAGGGTCATTAATTGGTAGAATTTTCTTCCTTAGACTGAGGCTGGATCATTAAATTTATTTATGGCTAAGTCAGATGGATTTTTGATAAACAAAGGGAGTCAAGCGTCGGGGCAGGGGAGCGGTGTGTGGAGGTGGTGGTAGTGAAGAAAAGTGTCATGTAGAGCAGAATCAAAAGGCCTTTCTGAAGAAGGGTGACTGGACCTGAAACATTAACTCTGCTTTCTCTCCACCAATGCTGCCAGACCTGCTGAGTTTTTTCAGCAACTTCTGTTTTTGTTTCTGATTTCCACCTCAGGTTTTTTTTTGGCTTAACAAGTTACTCTTATTGTTAAGTCCTATAATCTTGTATGTTTCAATAAAGTTACCTTGCATTCTTCAAAACTTCAATGACTTCAAGCCTAACCTATTCAACAGCTCCTCATAAGACACACCCTTCATACCTGGGATCAGCCTAGTGCATTTTCTCAGGGCTGCCTCCAATGCCAGTGTGTCAGACAACGGTGCGGTAATCCAACTGCGGTCTGACTGGTGTCTTGTGGAGATAATGCAAGGATGCACACTGTGACACCAGCTGATACTCAAGCTACAAAAGCCAGAATTTAACTAAATAAGGGCTCACCAGATAGGGAGGCAGTAGTACAGTAGTAATGTCACTAGATTAGCAAATTAAAATAAAAGCTGATGTTGGAGGAGCAAGGATCAGATTGCCACATGGCAGATAGTAAAATCTGAGCTCAATAAAAAACTGGAAATTAATGACCACCATGTAACCATTGTCTACGTCAAAAAAACCCATCTGGGGGT